AGAGCTTAAAATAGAGTTGGATTTGTTTATTTGTTTGCTTGCTGTACAGTGAATTATCAACAAGATCAACATTGTTGCTATATTACATTGTTTTTGAGGGCTGGTTTTTATGTTATGAGAGCAATGTCATTCCTCCTCCCTGAGATTCTATTCTACATTGTTCTACTCATTTTAAGACATTAAATTCACATGGAACATTAGCCCCTGTTCCCAGAGAAATGCTCCAGCTTCTTCTGAACTGTTTCTGGGCCATAAGCCCTAACTAATATGATCAGTGGATGAAGATAAGAGCATTCCAACAATATCTGGGGGGCACACATTCTCCATCCTTGCAATAATGGTATCAGAACTTTTTATAATGTTGGCCTTTCAAATGTATGAAGAGGACATAATGGTCTGAAAATTTTTGGAACAGCATGATTGGCAATTATTTGTCATTTCTCTGATGGCTCATCCAGATCAGGTATATATTACAGTATAATGTACTGTATTTGATTCATTGCTGATGTTACCCATCTTCTTCCCTTTCTCCATACAATGCTCTCATTGTCTCACTTAGTCCAGTGATATATTATGTGACTTCCTGTGCTTTTTTTGTCCCTCTTGAAGGCATGTCCTAGTCTCAGTTTGATCTGTGGGTTGGGATGGGATGGAGTTTGACAGTATGGTGCATCTAAAAAAAATCATTTCTTTAGCCAGAGCCTCCCAGTCAGAAGCTTTCAATTGCCTTTCTGCACATATACACAGAACTTTAGATGGAAGCTCCAGCAAGAAAGTGGATTTAGTAAAGAGTTTCTAAGATTTCCTGGAAAAAGCATGCTTTGGAGAAGGAATTTTTAAAAATGGAATATACACATGAATCCTGGTGAATCCCTCACTATTTGGGAGAAAGGAAGGTGGAATTTCTGCCTCCTTTGGAAGAGCCCTCTCTTGAGAACTAGCTGTGTTGCTCAAATATGATGTATATGAGTATATGTATGATGAAGAGTTTTTGAAACAAAGCCCTAGCACCTATGATTTTAGTCTTCACCCTGTCTCTCAGCATTTTAATTCTTACTGAATTGTTACTCTGTCAGTCAAAGACACTGACTTGGATAAGGATGAGCCATTTGCTGATTGACAATAGAAGCTGCGAACCAGCTAGACACACACACACACACACACACACACACACACACACACACACACACACACACACACACACACACACACACACACACACACACAGAGAGAGAGAGAGAGAGAGAGAGAGAGAGAGCGAGAGAGAGAGAGCGAGAGAGCGCGAGAGAGAGCGCTTTCTGTCAAAGGAGGGAAATTATCCTCACAAGTGATTTTACACAGAGGTAATGATTGAAAATTCTACATGACAGCTCTTTATACATAGCTAGCTGGTTGCTTGCAGAAGCTGTGGTGGGAATTAAGGTTTGTTAAGATATCAGTGTCTGTTAATTAAAATTTGCAGCAGTGTGCCAAAGACTTGAATCTTGCATGCAGCAGGGTGTAGGTATACATCAACAGCTGGATGCAGACAGGAAAGGAGCTGACACAGGCATATTTCAGGTACTGCAATATACCCACCGGAAGCTGATTTCTGTTGAGTGAGTACTGATTCTTTTCTGATTCTTTTATTTAAAGCAGCTGTCATTCACAGCTGGAAGCCACCAACATGAATACAGAGAATAATCCAGCCATTTAGCTGACCTACTCCTTCAGTTTCTCACCATAAAGCAATAAATGTCTTACATTAAAGACACTGCATGAAGTGAAACAGACTAATAAAGGTCATGTTAGCATATTACCTTTTTTTCAGTAATTGCCAGTCATCTTGCATGTATTCAAATTCAAGTGCAAAGTTTAAAGATCCAGATTAAACATAATATTAAGTGAGTTATTGCATTTAAGGTGCAGGTTTTAAAAATCAAATGATACCAGCTGTGTATGTTTGAGTGTGTTGGTAATTATCAGGATCAAAGCAGGCATGGAAGGGTTTTCACCCTTCTTACTCTGCTGTCATCTGGATGAATGTCCTTTCTTGGAATCTGGTATTTGCTTTGAAGGGGAATCCCCAGTTGTACCAAAATATCAGTTTCAGAGGAGGGGTTTTCCTCCAGACCTTAGCAGGAGAGGAAAGAGTTAAATTTTCCTCCAGTCCTGCTGTGACTTTGACAGTTATCAGCCCCACCAGCTGAGACTATTTACATTTTTTTAAAAAAACTTGCACATTATATGCAAAGAGACATTAAGTATAATGTCTAGTTTAGCACTGAAATAGTGCCTGCGTAGTGTGCAGTACAATGTCTTAGCGGGTACCTCCTTTAGGTTACTTTTGTCGTTGCCCCCCACCATTGTAACCAATGATCAGGGACAGAGAGGAGAAACTGGAGACAGCACTGCCAGTTTTACTTTATGGCATCGCCAAGCCTGAAGGCCTTCCTTTTCTTGTCCCAGCATGTCATAACTCATCTATAGCACTTGCATGGCAGTCTGGATTCCCATTGTATTAGACTAGGAAACCATTAGTATATGCTGCACTTCCTTCTTACTTGTTTTGGGGAAGGAATTACTGTACAGTGAGAACCAAGCATGTGCAAGTAGAGCCCAAAGCCCCGTTTTTGACACAAGTAGCCAAGGAATGTTTGGGATTAGGGGAAAATAAGCTTCTGATGCCCCCGAATGTGAGCTAGAGCTTCTTATGCCGCAGAATGTGCTTTAGAGGAAGAAATAAGATCTGGCCCATCTCTTTCTCAAAATGAATCACTGCACATTGAAGAACTAAAAGCAGAATGTCATATGTATTTGTATTGGGAAAATGTTTTTGTTGGCTAAAATGTAGCTAGAAGCTTTGCTGGCTTTGAAGAACATGGCATAAATTGTGTTTATTTTTAATGGTTTGCTAAGAGTTATGCGTATTCTGTACTTTAAAAAAAATGTGTGCCAAAGTACTCCAAGTTTTGTGGCAAGGAAAGTAGAATCCTAAGACCTAAAAAAGCATGTAAAATCAATGTATTCTTATATATTTTCTTATTTTATATTTTTCTCTTTGGCTGCTGTTAGTTATGGCATTAGCCACTATCAGCCTACTGTACTTGTATGAGAGTGAACGAGGCTCTCCTATTTTATGGAAAGAGCCATTTTATGAAATGTGTCATCTACCCAGTGTTGAAACAGCATAGGAGTATGACATTATGATTAAAATGTATGAGAATAATGATAAAGGAAATAACTCCCTTAACACAAGGAAATCACATCTGTGACTTAGTAAAATTATAGTAAAACTAGAATTGTCATATAAAAGTTTTTCTAGGAATAGGATTGGTTATTAATTGTTGGGACAAGAAAACAATTCATGGAGTACAGTGGGGCCTTGACTTGAGAACTTAATCTGTATTGGAAGGTGGTTCTCAAGTCAAAAAGTCTGTAGGTCAAGTCTCCATTGACCTACAGTGCATTGAAAACCGATTAATCCCATAACAGGCCGTTTTTGTTCCATTTTGGTTTTTTCTGGTCTGTAAGTCAATTCTCAGGCTGCAAGTCAAACCTAAATTTTGCGGCCAGAGAAGTCTGTAACTCAAAAAGACTGTAAGTCAAGCGGTCTGTAAGTCAAGGGTCTACTTGTAATAATTTCTCCCACCCTGCTCCTTATGAAAATGCATAAATATATAATGTTAGGCTACCAGAATTTTGTATTTCTATGGTGATGTGGTGCTACAAGAATAGAGAATGTCACCAAAAGGTCCTTTATATCTGCCTGGCTCCATCAGTGTAATACTAACAGGTCACCTTGGTAAAGTAGGGCCCTACATCGGCATAGAAAATGAGATTCTTAGTAGTACAAAACTGTGCCCATAATTATTATTGTTCTCCTTCATCTTTGGTGACCAGAGCTGTAACTAGTCGTTTTGGCATATGAGGCCAGAGTCATCATCTCTCACCCCTTCTGCCCGTGACATATGTGTGAGCCCTCCATGAGAACGAATCTAGTGTCCCTCAAAAGAAAGAGAACATTTGTGTTTTCACAAAAAAAAGAGGGGGAAAGAAAATGAATAGATTGGGAGCAGTTGTCATTTATTTTTCTTAACACTCACCATTAAAATCAACTCTGGGTTTCAGTGTCTTCTAAATTTTAGTGCCCCAGTTGCTACACCCTAGTTATAGCCTTGTTGGTAACAGTAAGAAGGAATATGAAACAAAGAAAATGGAACTGTGGGACAAATTATATTATAAATGTTCTTTATTTTTAGAAGGGGAGTCCCTCAAGTGTTGAAAAACATCTGTTTGCCACACTATTTTCCTCACACATGTATTTTGTATAAGATACTTTATTTTGTGATGGCCCTTTGAAAGGTAAAGTTGGGCTTAATTTGCAAGTCTGATTGCTGGTTTACTTGCCTTCTGAGAAGATCCCATTGTGGAAAGGAAGACAGGTTCCTCTCAGAGAATAGACATATGTTTTAATGCCTTGTTTCACCCTGCGACCACAGGAAATCTTGTTCAAGTTTGAATGCTGAATTGTCGCCACTACCCACAGGCCTTTTCATAACCATGAAAGTTACAGAGCCATGCATCTCCTGTCTGAGAAGCCCCACTGACAGTTTCTTTGTGGGAGGTATAATCCAATGTGGTTGGGAGTGGAGTAGTCAGGCAGTCTGAGTGGGGCAGCCACCTAGTTCTGCTTGATGTTAGCAGGCTGAAGCAAGCATATGAACACATTTATTATCAAAAAGCTGTTTTTTAAAGCCTTCCGATCCCTACTCTCCACTGCTGTTCTTTTCCATATTTAGATTTGGGATTGCAGAAGAACACTGAAACATTTTATGTTTATATGTCAGCCTCTTTGGATTGGTAAAATTCCTCCAACAGCTCTCAGGAATCACACAGAACTTACTGTAGGTTTACTTTGATGCTTCTTAGTGCTTTAATGTAGTTTATTTTATTATCTTAAAATAGCATTGGAGATGTTTCTCTCATTGCTGAGTGGGATTTCCTTTCTCATAACTCAGGTGTAATGGCTCTGCTGAGGCCACTGCTCTTGGATGTCGTTCCAAATATTCAGCAGACAGCTGCCTTGGCCCTGGGGAGACTTGCCAATTATAACGATGACCTAGCAGAAGCCGTAGTTAAGGGCGATATTCTTCCACAGCTTGTGTATTCATTGGCTGAACAGAATGTAAGGAACTCTTATTTTCTGATACAAGTATTTTCTTGCTGCCAGATTTGGTTAAAATCTCTTGTCTTAATTAAATTGTTAAAAAAACTATCCAGATACATTGTCTTTGCTGCACCACAGACAGTAAACGTATTGATCTCTCTTGATAGAAAGTCTCTGTGATAATTCTAATTTAACTATACTTTTAAAGAAATTATATATTTTTACTTTGTTAGCTGAAGTATATGACTGTTAATTTTATTTCCTGAAAAGTGTAATGAAATGATGGAATGGAGAAGGCAATTTTAGAAATGAAATGATCAGAAATATTTTGCCACTAATTAGATAGAAGCTATATTTAATGTGTGGCTATGTATCAGTAGATCCCAACTTTTGGTCCTTAAATGTCAATGGACTGTAGCTCACAGAAATTCTGGCCAGCATAGCTAGTGATGAAGGCGTCTGTGACTTGCAGTCCAATAACAAATAGGGACCCAAGTTTGGGAACCACTGCTATATATAAAATGCATATAAACTGTCCAGTTGTGGCATAGATAATACCAGAAAGTATAAGAATCTACTACTGTACTATGAAGTTTATTTGTACTTAGCAACATTTTTTTTATTTTCTCAGAGATGAGTCTTATATAGTCCACTAGTTTTGTTTAGAGTAAGAGTTTATAGTTTACTCTATAACATGTACTATTCTGTAACATTGGTAATATATGTAACATGGCACTGAGCTGGCTAATGCTGTTCTCACTGCAGGTAAGAGAATCTTCTTGTCATTATTTGTTAAAAGAGTTCCTCAAGGATTTTGGCAGAAAGACCAATTACATTCCACTCCTGTATTAACTCCCTGTGTCTCCAGATTGCCAGGGTAACCCCATGATTCATACTACTGTATAGCTTTACAATCAGCAGCAAAACATGAAACACAGCAGCTTTGGCTTCTCCCCATACCCTGCAAATTAGTTTTCTCTTATTTGAACATGGTATTTCCCATCCCTAACAGTATTTCCACTAAAGTTGCATGCAACCCTTACGTTTATTTCTATAAATAAATTAAATCTTTTCTTCTGTTTAAAAATATTTCATTTCCCTTCTGAACTAGTCAAAGGCTCTGAACCAAAGAGTAGCTAGTGAGCTTGAAAATAGCTCAGTGGCAAAATTTTTACAGGGTACACAGATTTTACATCCACCCAAGCTATTTTTGTTAAGCAGGCTTTTCAACATGGTTGGGCGTATAATGTGGCAGAAGAGCAGCAGCTATTAAAGACTCTGGTGTGAAGCTTGGTTAGCTTTTTTTCTCTCTGCTGTTGAAAATCACCCCAGAGCTGACTCCAAGCGTGTGAAGCAGGGTGGCTCAATGACACTAGCCCTCGGGTTTGTAACATATTCTTTCTGATGTAGCACATTTTGAATAATAATAATGGATTAAATCCTTTGGGAATTTAGCTGCGCAGGAACCAGTGAAATAAATGGGAATCACAGAGGAACCTCCCAGTAGATTTCTCCCACTGATATTAAAACTCTTCAAAATATGGCCTTCTGCTTAAAATTTAATTATTTGAAAGTAATGATATGCATGCTTTGATGCACAATACAAGTACTTGCTAATAATGGTGCTAGAGCTCTGAAATTGTTTTTCACTAAGCCGGGATCAGCATCTATAGTCCATATTATTATTGGTGTCTGGGAAATAGCAACTGATTGATATTTCAGCTTTAAGACACAGGCCTAGTTTACAGTAACCATTTGTGGGATATTTGTAAAAACTGGCTTTTTATTTAGATAGTATCTCTCTTCAGAGTAGACATAAGCATTACATAATCCCTTTCTAAACATGTACATAGACAGCAGCCAAAATAGATGATTTCAAGGGTGTTACTCTTCTGCTAAGGCATAGTTATTCCATATCCTCCAGTTGCATTGATTCACATCTTGAACAACTGGCATTTCCTGCTTCCACCTTAACAGGTACTAAAGTGGGTCCTATTACTTTAATCATCTTCTATATGTACACTGAAACAGTAGGGGGAAAATGATTTTACCATCTTAGACTTCCAGTACAATAGGATAATTAACAAGAGGATTCACCTCTGAATCTTCCTATTTCGTGTATTATCTCACCCATCCTTTCAAATGAGTGGAGGAGTGAACACTCTATTTCTGTCCATTATCCACCTAAGGAGATGAATGACCTAGGCTCTCCATATGGAAACCACAACACAGGCACAGCCAGCCTAGGAGAGTTGACAGATGCCAGGAGACAGCAATAGCAGCCTCCTACCTGTTGTTCTTGATCCTTAGTCATTCTCCCTTGGGAGACAGAGCTTTGTGTACCACCTAGTCTGTCTCTTCCATGAACTTGAAAGCAACGTGTTATCCTTTGTTAATTCTTCTTGTTCTCTGTAGGCAGGGTGAAATACTCTATGACTTGTCAATGCTTGGGCCAGAGATCTCTTCCATTGTTTTCAGCAGGGTTTATGTTTGTGCAAGAAAGTATTGAGCACCTTGTGTAAGCTCTGTAAAAGGCTCACTGCTTCACTCAATACATCATTGCATGCATTAAAGAGGGCAACAGGATACTGACCTTAGTTTACTAAAAATAATAAGGGGAAACAGCTTCAAGTTTGGGTTTTAATATAGCAAAATATATTTCTGACAATATAGTAAGTTTTTACTTGTGTATGTGTGTTATTTTTCTATTGATATATTTAGTCAGTGATAGGAAAATGGAAGTAAGATGCTATTTAAAACATAGAAATATTTCCCACTGAAATGAGTTGTACCATGTAGCATTGACATGTTTTTCAAGGAACAAGAATTCTTGTTTGCAAGCCTAGCAAAATTTTGCATGGAATAGGGGCTCTGGTGTGCGGACTAACAAGCTTCTGAAAATTTGCCTGCAGATTGGCAAGGCTTTGTGTGGAACAGAAACTCTGGTTTGCAAACTGGCAAAATTTTGCATGGAACAGGAGCTCTGGTTTACTGCCTAGCACAGTTTTTTTTTAAATGGAAGCAGAGTTCTGATTTGCAGACTGGCAAGTTTCTACATGGAACAGGAACTCTGATCTGTAGACTGCATGTGTGTGGTTCTTTTTAAAAAGAAATGGTTAATATACAATTCATTAATATTTTGTCAGACCACTGTTCTGGGCCTGTGTGAACATCACTGGAGGGGTGATGGGTTTGTGTTCAGTCTTGCACCATGTGAAAAGCAGATTGGTTGAGTAATGTATAAATGGCGCTCTGACTCATGGGAGCCTTTGTATTTTCTCAAGAGGAAGCTCACACCTACTGAGCACTTTATCTGAGGGTCTAGAGCAGCCATTCTCAACTGGGGGCATATCACCCCCTGTGAGGCCCTGGCACATATGAAGCGGGCCATAGACTGGAAACAATTCTTCACACACCATATAAGGTTGCTTATTTGGCCCATATTTCATTCATATTAGGTTTATGGCTGCAGCCAAACAAAGGTTGAGAATGGCTGCTCTAGTGCCACAGCGTTATCATTTTCTGACCTAGTGTTCTAAAGACAAGCTAAATGTTGGAATCACCTCTTGCAGGTCTTGGAAGAGCCCTGCTTGGGATATTCCTTGGCTGCAATTGCTGGTAAACACCTCAGCACAGAATTCTGCTTGGCTTCTAGTAGGAGCTGCATTACAGCCTGGTTTCCCTGTTCACATTCATACGCTAGTATAGCAGGCCCAATCCAGTTGCTGGACTCACAAGTAGACCTGCAGAACCAACTGCTGAGTAAGAACAGTTATATAAATCCCATTCATTCAGTGTGTTTATTCTAGCTGGAATTAACAACTGGATTTAGGGCAAAGTTTTAACTACTACTTCTTAGTCTATTAGGAGGTCCAAATAGCTGCTGACTAATTGCTGCATGCTGAATGCTGATCCAGAGATTTTCCAAGGAGATAATATAAAATATATGAGTCGTATATTTTTTTCACAGTGAAAAATACATAATGATTCCCTTAAGTATATGCCTAGTGTAATATAAACAGTTAACTTGTACAAAATTATTTAATGTCTTAATTTATTTTCTGGCTTTTGTAACTCCACCACATTAAATAACTGGAGATGCTTCTACCCTTCCCTTTATGTCTGTAGCGCTTCTACAAGAAAGCAGCTGCATTTGTATTACGAGCAGTTGGGAAACATTCTCCTCAGCTGGCCCAGGCAATTGTTGACTGTGGAGCACTTGATACCCTGGTGATCTGCTTGGAGGATTTTGACCCTGGTGTAAAGGAAGCAGCATCCTGGGCTCTTGGCTATATAGCAAGGCACAATGCAGGTAACAGTATTAACAGTGAAGAATATTTTTGTGCCAATGTTCTAGTAGGTGTCATGGAAAAAACTGAAGTAATATGGTTTCTTCGCAAAACAGGTATCTTTCTGGACAAGATATGTCAGATGTGACCACAATTGTAATGTACTATAGTAGTGTCATGTTTGTGAACCAAGGAATCTCTAGTTTAGATGTTGTTTCTCCTTAGAATATGGGGGTAATAGTACAAACCTACCTTGCAGAGTGTTCTAAACATTGCTATGTTGACGCATGTGAAGTCCTCTGAACCTTGAAAAAGTGCTGAGCAAATTAATCCTTAGATCAGAGATAGGAGATAAAAAGTAGATGATGGAGGACCCAGATACCTAGATACCCAGGCCAAATACCCTGAACTTAATTCTTTTTGCTGCATATGAGCCTGGGTGCACCAATGACATTCCACCTCACACAAATACCAGTTGCAAGAGTACAAGCTAAAAGTAAAGGACAGAGACTCTGTTGCTCTGATTGGAGATAAAGGGTCTCCAAGTGTGTTGAGGGGCTTGAGGGCCATGCCAAAGACAAGCTTCCAGCAGGCGTAATCTAGTTTCTGTGACCTACATTAGACCCATGAGTCAATTTCTTCTCTTCTGTCATAGATCCTGGAGAAGAATCAAAGGGTGACCTACAAACATCACCCATTCATTATCCCAGGGGCAGCCAAATCATATTCTTCCCATGTAGGTTTTTATATGTAGTAGCTAGTGGATCCTTCCATGGCCCTCCATACTCTCTGTAATGCAAGCTTTGAAATAAATGCTAATTTTATTTATTTTATTACTTATTTAAAATATTTTTACCCCATCTTTTTCCTTAAAGAGGACCCAAAGTGGCTTACATCACTAAAAGACATTTAAAGCTGAAAACAGTAAGTATACAAATATTAAAAAGGATCAAACAAATAGTGCACTAAAAGTGGTGAACAAAAGCAACAGCAAAAATACATTCAAGTCAGTAAGGCACAACAGTCCTTTTAAAAAACCCACTCAGGCAGCCAATAATTAAGGGAAAGCTTGCGTGAAGATAGAAGTCATCATTTGCTTGCAGAAGGACAGCAAAGATGGGGGCAGCCTGGCTTCCTGTAGGAAGGAGTTCCAAAGTCTGGGAGCAGCGACAGAGAATACCCTCTCCCATGTCCCCACCAACCGCACCAGTGAAGGTGGTGGCATGAGAGAAAGGCCTCTCTCAATGATATGAACACCCAGGTAGGCTCATAAAGGGAGACATGGTCCTTGAGAAAGCTTGTACCCAAACTGTTTAGATCTTTATGGGTTAAAACAAGTACTTTGAATTGTGCCTGGAAATGGATCAGAATATGCAGCCATGTGCTGTTCTCTAGATCAGTGGCCTCCAACCTTGGGCGTCCAGATGTTCTTGGACTTCAACTCACAGAAATCCTGGCCAGCAGAGGTGGTGGTGAAGGCTTCTGGGAGTTGTAGTCCGAGAACATCTGGAGGCCTAAGATTGTGGACCACTGTTCTAGATGTTTTTTTAAATTCAGATAACCCCTGATGATTGACAATGCTCGTTGGAAGTATAGAGGAAAACAAATCATCATCATCATCATCATCATCATCATCATCATCATCATCATCATCAAAGATTTCTGTAGGAAAAACAGGATGTAAATCCAGACATATGGGAAAGTTGAAGAAATGCTGAACAGATTTATGATTTGTTCACTGTCATAGTTTAGATGGTGAAGACCGAAAGATAGAGCAAAGTAGTTGTTATAAAGTATGTGTAAATTACCAGAACATGATTTTACAGAGTGGTTTTCTTCTCTCTTCATGAAGCAATTGTAGATTCAGACACGTACAGAATTTGTGTCCATGGAAACAGTAATACACAGCGCACTAAACTGACCACACAGCCTATCAGGGAATTCTCTCTTTCATATGGATGACAAGTATTTGATTCTGAATGAAATCAAACTTTATACATAGCTGGTCACAAAACATTTGTTTGGAGAGGCATAATTAATTAACAATGGATAGTCTGCAGTTAGTCACTGGTAACAATTCAGGAAGACTGACTGAAATCTGATCAGCACAATCAGTGGCACTAGAAATTCAGTGATGAAAAAGGCATACCTTGGAGTCAAAGGAAGGCCTTAACACACAGCTGAAATTGAACTTCCTCACTGAATGCTGATTTAGCAGACAGGGTGGCAACTCAGGTTGAAATGGCCACAGTTTTGTAAAAAAGGAGTGAACAAGTAGGACCTGTGAAATGTTGTAATATATCCCCACTCTCTAAGGAATACTCCAGTTCAGGCTGGGGGAGGGATACACACATTTTCCATCACTTGGAAGCCTGTATAGCAGTATAGCACAAAATGCTTTCTACAGAACTGAGTATTATATAATGGAAAGTAAAATTCGAATTCCATTCCAATCCCTATGAAAGGGGATGCAAAGGAGTGCAGTAACTATAGGGTAACTGTGTTCTCAAAGGCACACACTACACCAGAACATAGACAGAATTTTAGCTCCTGTCCTCTGAAGATGCTGCCCACAGAGTCTGGTGAAACATTAGGAAAAAGAAACCTCCAGAACACAGCCAAACAACCAGAAAAATCCATAACAACTATAGGATAATTGTTCTAATTTCTCATGGAAGCAAAGTGATGTTCAACAAACTCTTTTACCTTATATGGAGCAAGAAATCCCTGATGTTCAAGTTAGATTCTGTAAAGGAAGAAGCACTCAGGATCGTACTACAAATATCCACTGGGTTCTGAAGCATATCAAAGAAGACCTGAAATAGACCACAGCAAAGCCTTTGACTGTGTGAATCATGAGAAGCTATGGATGTGCCTCAGCACTTGATTGTCCTGACACATAACCTATATTGTGAGCAAGAAACTACTGTTAGGACAGAATATGGAGGAAAAATGGGCTCTGATAGGCAAAGGTGTCAGACAGGGGTGCATTTTATCCCCTTACCTATTCAGTCTGTGCACAGAACATAACATTCAGAAAGCTGGATTAAATTTAGATGAAGGAAGAGTGAAAATCTGAGGAAGAAACGTCATTAATTTTAGACACCACCTTACTAGCAGAAAGCAGCAATGACTTGAAATTGGAAAAGATAATCAAGTCTAAGGATGTGCCATTGGAGACCAACACCAACATTATCCACGCTATTGTATTCCTGATTACTGTGTACAGGTGTGAAAGCTGGACAGTAAAGAAAGCTGGCAGGAACAGAAAAATTGTTTGAAATGTGGTGCTGGAGGAGAGCTTTGCAGAGACCCTGGACTACTAGAAGGATGAACAAATGGGTCCTAGAGGAAATCAAGCTTGAACCATTTGTAAATTGACATGTGCCTAGCTTAAGACCACCAAATCTATTAGAGGAATTATGTGTTTGCATATATGTATGCGTGTTTGTGTGTGTGTGTATTTACACATATACACGTTATATATACTGTATTGTAATTCAGTTGCCCAATTTTGATTTTGGAGTTAATTCTCCATCAATCAAAGCTTTCTGTAGAACTATATATTACGTCATTTCTCACACATTTCCCATCTGCTCCCTTTATTTCTACTTGTTATTCACAATCCTTCTGTGCCTTTGCTCTCATAGAGAATTCACTCTCATAGCCTGGTTGTTTCAGAGGTTTGTGTGTATGTCACTGGGGCTATCATATATTTCCTTCTCCATCCAGATTGTAGAGGTTGTGGAGGAAAAGAGGAATCGTTATTCTCAGTTGAATGTTGAACAATATAAAAATAAGTGGTTCCCTTTGTGAGAAAAGGAAAATGAACATACATACATACATACATACATACATACATACATACATACATACATACATACATACATACATACATACATACATACATACATACATAAACTGTGTTTCTGTTGGAAAATTCATTGGTAGGGCTCTTCTAATCTGAAAAAGCGATAGAAGAAGGACTGGGTGTTTATAAATTAAACTCTGCTTTGTAAAGTTTGAATTCTACATTATAAACAGATATCATGTTTATCATACTGGTGTCCACAAGCCACGGTAAGGGGAACAAAAGGAATTCAGATATTTCTTCAAATGTGTCCCAACGATATTTGATAGAAAAGTGGGGAGGGGAGAATCAGAAGATCTTTTAGTGCAAGTATTCTGCCCAAATAGGTTCTTGGATTGTTCAGTTTCTTTCTTCCTTTAAAGTGATCACTTTAAAGTCCCAGTTCTGTCTCCTTTTTTCTGTGTGAAATATAAAGTTACTCCTCCAAAAGGACGTTCCCTTTTTGCAAAATACTGTAATATAAATAATTTATTTATCTATTGCAGTTATGCATATTTAGGGAAAGAAAAACAAATGTATCGTATCTATATTCAATTGTTACGACAAATGCATAGTTACTACAGTGCATGCTTTCTGTACAGTTACAGCCAGAGTATTGTGAATAAAATACAGGCTTGAAGAGGAAGTCACATGAAAAACCCATATATAGAATCCATACTTTGTCTAGTATAAATACTATACATATCTTGGATTCAATCCAACATACAGGCCACTGGAGCTTCAGCCTGTCAGATTAACATCTGTAATCCACTAAGTGTATGAACAATTTAAAATGTTATTTATTTGCCATAGGTGCAATGTCTAAGTACTTACTAAAAAATAATTATGTGACTGTAGGCATGTGTTAGCACATCAGTGGAGACTGGGAATTTGTGGGTACAGTATACTACTGCGGTTAAGAAAGTTGTCCAAAGGCTTTACTTGATGAACTGTAAATGCAGAATCAAAGTTGGGCCCTTGAGTTACAACAACTATTTGTTGCCATGGCAGTGTAAAGCGAATTAAATGTTAAAGATAAGAGAGTATGTGCATAACAAGGAGAAGACCTAACAAAACCATATTTAAGAACCCATAATAGCCCATTTGAAATTAATGGGGTTTGTGTTCATTTCTCATCATCTCCCAAAGTAGCCCTTGTTATAATCTTAGCATTTGCTGTCCCTTAATTTTCTCCTTTGCTACTGAAGCTAATTACAAATGTGCGAAATGAGGATAATGAATTTCTGCTATAACAGTATACTAGCTATATCAGTTAATTGAGGGTTTTCAGGTTAAGATGCAAGCAGCTGATCATGGCAGCTAAATGCAACTGTCTGTTACAGATATTTATTGTGGAAAAAACTATTTCAGGTAGTTTACTAGTGAAAAATGCAGTGTTTAAAATGTGTTTTGATGTCTGAAGTTAACACATTAGTTTTTAAAGTGGAATATACTGTATACTACTTTTAACAAACTAAGCGTTAATGTATTTTAAGTATGACATTTTATGCTTCTCTTAGGAATGGGGTAAATATCACCTAAATTAACTTTGTGGGGGAAGAGAGCATGTTTTGGCATTTTGGCTTTTCTTTATTGTTAGCTATGCAAAAACTGCTTGCCTATTGATCGATGTACAACAGTCAGTGCTTAAACAGCTGACATCTGCTTACTCTTTTAAAAGGCACAAATACACACACATGCACACACATACACACAGGGGGTAAGCAAGCCATTTCAGCCTAATCTACCTTAAATGTGTGCATGTAAATGGAGGTCCATCTATTGACCTGTATTCTTTTGAGCTGGAGGATTGGTCCACATGGTTCATGAAACTAGGAGGGTTGATTTGAAATGCAGATGTCAAGGCACTGAAGTACACCCTCCGTTCTCCCCCTCCTGCTGTATCTGTCAGGGTGAAAAATGGCTTGCACAAGGGTCAGTCACCCATACTCGCTTAATTACTTTCATTGGACCAACAGAACTGTCACAAGCTGTGGTCGATGCTGGAGCCATTCCTCTTTTAGTACTTTGTATCCAGGAGCCAGAGATTGCTTTGAGAAGGATTGCTGCTTCTGCGCTCAGTGATGTTGCAAAGCATTCTCCAGAGTTAGCACAGACAGTGGTGGATGCGGGGGCAATTGCTCACTTGGCTCAGATGATCCTCAACCCTGATGCCAAACTAAAGGTACTTTTCAAAACTACTTTCCCCCTCTTTCTCTCCCTCTCCCTTGAAAGGAAACCAGGGTTCAGCTGTGATTGGATGCTGAGAAAAGCATATTAATCTAAAAGGGCTCTCATGCCAAACGACATATTTCTAAGTTGACAAAGGGGAGGCTGGCTGTTTTTGATACCACTACTGTGTAAATACATGGGGGAAAATGAGGCAACTCATCTTTAAATGCTGATATCTGTTTTCTTGGCAACCATGTGTGATGGACTTACTAGAGTTTTTTCAAAAGCTTCTTTATATCTAAGAATTTTCTTTACATCTTAATCCTTCCTAACATTTAATTGGCTCAACAAATATAATGTAGTGTTCTAATGCTATAACTGCGCTTCTGGGTATTCTTAGAAAGATAGCTCTGCATCACTAAATATATTTGTTTGGGAGGAGGCCCATTTGTTTTGGAGATACTTGCTTTTAGTAAGTCACTGTAGGATCTGGGTATAAACCTCTGTGCATATTTTCTTTTTCCTTCTGAATTTGCTCAGTACATTGAATAGTACCTACAGTACCATAATATCCCTTCGTCTTTTTAATAATATGGCATTTTGTGAGAATTAATAGCAAATGTCATTTTCCACATACATGTTTAATTAATATAGCAATCTTTTAACATTCATTTCAGATATTAAAATTTAAATGACATCAGCTGATTTCTGGGATCTGTGCTTTGTATTTGGAGAGAAACAAGCAATTATTTTATGTGTAATGGTTTTAAAAGAGAGCAATAAACTGCATGTCTTGTCTTCTGTTTTGAATTGCTTGTAAAAAAAAGTACATTTCCTCAGTCCATGTTGTATTTACTTGGAAGTAGTTCAGCTGAATTGAATGTGAATGTCTTCCAAGTAGGTGTGTCTATCTTTGTTGAGAAGATGTTTGGTTGCTTTTTGTCTTGTTTTTTATTAAATTAGAAGGGGTATAAATTTAGTAAAACTTGTGGATGTTTTGAATTTTCCCAGTTCTATGGGAAGTTGTCTTTCTTTTCTTGAGTCTGTGTGCCTGTAAAGTGTGTGCCCAGTAAGCCATTTATAAAACAATCATTCTTATTTATTTACCAGCGTCAGGTGCTATCAGCTCTCAGCCAGATAGCAAAACATTCTGTGGATCTGGCAGAAATGGTGGTTGAAGCAGAAATTTTCCCTGTTGTACTCACATGCCTGAAGGACTCCGATGAATATGTCAAGAAAAATGCTGCAACTCTAATTAGAGAGATAGCAAGGCATACGCCTGAGGTAAAACCTTGAGAATGCAAATACAAGGTCATGTTATTAGTGTTTATAGTTTAAATAAATGTTTTTAAAAATCCCTAGTATTATTCTGTCATTAGGCAAAGAAAAAAGCTCTGTGGAATTTCCATTGCTGCAAAGAAGGAAAAAAAAAGGAAATGTTTGTTGCTGTTATTGAATGTGCTTGGAATACAAATAGGGAGTAGGAAAATGAGAAAAATTGGCTTTCCTTATTGGTGGGTATTAATGTGGAAAGTATATGTAACAGTGGGGACACACAAGATATGAAAGGCACTAATGAAGAACAAATATTCTTCGGCCATAGTGAAGTGTTTGTAACCCTCCTTTTAAATGTATGGATTTTTCAAGTTTCACATTGTGTTGGATTGTCTCCCCCCCCCTTTTTTTTTTTTGCAGGGACTGTTTGGAACAATGGTGTGAAATTCTTTTTAAAATGCATTGCCCTAGAAAAATGACAATAATTTGATTACCTTTAAAATACTTATTATAAACTAACATGAAATTCAGTACATCTGAATTCATGGATTATAGGCTGATGAAATTATTAAAAAGTGATAAAATCAGATTCATCTTTCTTTCTTTCTTTCTTTCTTTCTTTCTTTCTTTCTTTCTTTCTTTTTTTTTCTTTCTTTCTTTCTTTCTTATTCACATTTCAAAATCAACATACAAAGTCATCTAAGTACAGCATATATTTGGAGTGAAGCCTATATACCTCCACTGAACTAAATAAATGAATTGCAAATCACATAATGCTTTCCCACAGACTTGTGAAATAAATATACTTGTCCAGGTGTCAAATATCAGGAGATCTGGGATATAATGCATTATTCTTCATCTGGAAATGTTGTGCATTTTCAATTCACACACAATTTTCAGTGCACCAAAATTGCAGTAAAATAGTAGTGTGAAAAAAAAAATCAAATATGCTAGGAAGGTTACAATGTGTTGAAAGAAGAACACTCAGAGTGCAGTGATTTCTTCTTATTAAGAGGTTTGTATTTATTTAAACCCTGTAAACCCACCTGAACATCCTATATTCATATTATTTCAGATGCTCTTCTTCTTTAGAGATGTTTTCCCCACCCCCAGTGTCAGATGGATAGTGTGAGAGGTGCTGTTTTTGCAGCTCTGATGCTTGCCGTGAGGTTTGGGGGAGGAAGAAGGATTTGGGGAATCCTCACTGTAGTCAAAACTTCCTTTGTGCTGCAGAGCATAATCTCCACAGGAGTCCTTGCTCTGAGTCTAAAAGCTCTTGCATTTGAAGTGGAGGAGGAGGAGGAGGAGGTAGTTGTGGTGGCTGCAGCAGCAGGAGGGGGAGGGGTGGCTGAATTGCAAGCTGCAGCAATCTCAGCAGATGAATCTGGCACTGAGAATCACCAAGCTCTACTTAAGATATAGAATTTGATCTAGAGAGAATCCTGTTCATACTTGCTCTTCAAAAGGTGGTATGTACGTACTACCAATCTAAAGGGTTTTAGCAGACTAAATTGGCATCAAATGAAGAATCTCAGTTGAAGCAATTGCCTTCTTTTATAATCATTTATTGGTTATAAAACAAGGCTGGAATTATAAAAAATTAAATCAGTTCATATCATTTGTTAACCTGACATGTTATTGGAGACATGTTATTAGAGAAACCTTAATCCCAAATCTGCTTGCTGTTTTGAAACACTTCAGTGCATCGTTACAGAGCTCATAAAAATAGACTACAGATCACAAAATTCCCCAACGTCTCCACTGAGCATGGTAGCTGAGGAATTCTGGGAATGTAGTCAGTTTTAAAAAACTTTTTTCAAAAGTGTTTCTGTTTCTTGAGTTAAGCAGGAAGAGTTCTCAAAATAAGAATGTACATATATTTATGTGAAAAAAATTACATCCCATTTAATGAAATTTGTAGGTTGGATTATTAAATGAAAAACAAGTAATTGTAATTGGAAGACACTGAAAACAGCAGGATCACTAGGAGTAGCATAAGACAACAGCTCGTCAAAGGAAACAGACCAAACTGAATTGAGAGGCAAGACTGTGGTTTTAGAAGGCTGTTGTCTGATGCTTAAAATATCAAAAGTAGGTTCCAAGCAAGAAAGCCATGTCAGTATATGCCATGGTAGGAGAAGCCTGGGCACCCACCACTCTTGAAGCTGACCTTGTTTTAAACAAAGTATGTTTTAATGGCATAGCAGTTTGAAAAAGTGAAGAGCTGGACAAGGTAATTCTAGCTGCCATCTTAATTTTCTCAAAATGTCTATGGACACTGAACTGGCACTTCCCTTTAGAGTACCACAGTCTGCATTGCTGCCCATCCTCTCTACTCTTTCCTGCATTACCATTCTACTACCACTCTTGAATAAGGGAGAGGGCCCACCAGGGCAGTGCTGTCTTTCCATACTCTCAAAATGGCTGCTGCCATTACATAATTGGGACAAATTGCGTCCTACTATACTTGGAACTGTGAGATAAATCAGAGAGGAATCTCTGGCCTTAGTGTAAAGGGAAGCATATGAGAGGCAAGTGATACAGTGGTGCCTCGCAAGACAAAAATAATTCGTTCTGCGAGTAGCGCTGTCTTGTGAAATTTTCATCTTGCAAAAAGCGGTTTCCCATAGGCATGCATTTCAATACATTCCTATGGGAACCTCGCAAGATGAATGAAGAAGCAGTCTTGTGAGGCACCACAGCGATCGCAAAAAACATTCATCTTGCGGGTTTTTTTGTCCCGCATGGCCTTCGTCTTGCGAGGCACTACTGTACTTGATTCCTTTTGGAAGTCTTCACAAGGTGCCGTGTAGGACTAGGATAAGAGAACTTTTTAAAAATGCTTTCAGAATATATTAAGAAGTCCAGCATTAGAGTCCAATGGATTTTTGGGGATTTTTATGTATTAGATACACTGAAGGTTAAACTTTTATCGTATACATTTTTTGATGATGAAATATTCACCCAAGCCTAAATTTTCCTGTCTATGCAAAACAAAATTATTAAAAATATTTTGTACCATTTATTTGGAACCTTGGATTGCTTCCAGTTGCCTTCAGAATACTCTTTGAAATAACATGGACTGTGAAGCCCTGGCTTGAACAGTGGTACTTTGCTGTCCCTTAGATTCTTGCCAAAACCACAGGATGAATAGTTTTTGGAAGTATAGTGGAATTTGCTGTTTGGAAGTATTGTGGAATACTGGATGTTTTTTCCTGTTGGTTCTGCCTCACAATTAATGTTGATACCTTTCATATGGGACAGATCGAGAAAAAAATCTTTAAAAGACTGGGATAAATCCTCATCTAGCTTCCTTTCTTCCTTCCTTTCTTCCTTCCTTCCTTCATGCCAAATGGTTAAAAAAGGCTGGGTCACAGATCATGGAAAGTTCATGTAAAAATAAATATTTTTGAGCAATTGATGGAAATTCAACAGTGCTTGCTTAATACAAATACAGTAATGATGTGGTCATGCTAAATGCCCTGTATTTAACAGGCATAAGACAAACAACACATAGTATCATTGGTAAGTCTTGTATAACTGAACAGTGTGCTTGGCAGAGATATATGGATTAAGGCAGCCCTCCAATAAGCTATTCCAAAGTTGCCTATGCCTTTATATGCAAACATTAAAGCCTCAAATCTAACCTAGTAGCATATTAACATATCTACAGCACAGGTGTTATGAGTTGTCAGTAGTTTGGACTATCTTGAATAGGTCCTTCACATTTGTATGGGCAAATCACTCTGGATAGTCCAAAAATCATCAGGAAACAATTGATCATGATAAGAGACTTCTCCATACCTTCAGACTCCTCCTTGACCATTTGACATAAGATGTCCTGCTCTGTGTCTTGGGTCAGTAATAACTTGAAACATGGTGGTCATGAAGATCAAGAAATCTTGAACCAATCCATAGGCAGGGTTGGCATGAATATTAAAATTACATTTAACCACTGACCGGAGTCCCTTCAGCACTCCATTTGAAGCTTCCCATGACATCTTCCTCTTAGCTTGCTGGAGAAGCTGACAGATAGCAGGGAGGATGATACACAGATAGTATTTAATCCAGTCCCAAAATGGGGCAGTTTTCTGGTAAGGAAGTTCAAAGCCCTATGGACTCTAGTGATACTTTTCCTCCAACCTCTGTCAACTCTCAAGTAGATCAGCACAGCACCAAATACATAGTGGGGCAAAACTGGGCTAGGTTAGGTCTGACCAGTCTGCCTTTCCAGTTTTAGTTCTATGCTCCAGTCAGCTCCCAGAACCACTGTCAAATCACAGATTAGCATAGTCTTATTGTGAACTTTGTGGTATTATCAAGAACAATATCAGGAAGCCACATGGCACAGTTGAAGAATAAATGGTCAAAGCAGGGCTGCAACTGAAACTAGAGAGAGATCTAGATCCATTTCTCCTATAATGGACATGTCCTTTTTGCCACAATATCCTGCTCTGCTCCAGGCACTATAATGACATTAACCTTAAGCTACATTAAATCACACCACCACCACATTGTGGTGAAAAATTCTGTTGGCTATCTCTCTCTATGTCTCTTTTGGAAAATAATGCCTATACCCCATACAACCAAGTATAGCAAATTTATATACGTGCTATATAAATGAAAGGTTCCAAGATTAGTACCCAGCACTGAGAAGCAGGTGTAGAAGAAACTCTTGGCTGAAATTCTGGAGAATTAACTGCTGTCAATGTAGACATTACTGAACCAGATGGATTGAATTGTTTCTTATGTGTATAATATGGGCAGATGTATATTTGAAAGAACAACTGTCACCCTATGGATGATAGTGCCCTATGTCTCGCTTCTCATTTGTGCTGCATATGTAGTGAAGACAGAGATCTGCACACATTTCTCTTATGTGAAAGCACTGGTCTTTTGCTGCAGCAAACAGAAAAGTACCTATGGTCTTCAAAACCTCTGCAAACACAAGAGACACATAATCCACGTGTTCCCTTGTAATTGAGAAGGAGCATGCTTATTAATTGAGAACATGCTTACTAATGAGTCTTGTGTCTTTATTTGAATGCTGTTGTCCAGGGAGGTGAATGGGCTTACACTAAAATGGGCTTACACTCTGGTAAAAGAAAACCATATTGTATTAATCTTAGTTTACATGTATGCACCTGTAAACATCAACTCAACATACAAAGGAGCTAATTGGCAAGTCAGGTTTTTTACTTCACTTAAACTCGTAAAAATGGATTTGCTAGCTTTCAATATATGCCGTCACTGGAGATGGAGGCAAATGGCTGCTTGTTTGTATGGGTTGATAGTTCCTTGACATTGCAGCATCTGTAACCTTTCTGATTTATCTTCTTTCAGCTCTCACAACTTATTGTGAATGCAGGGGGAGTTGCTGCTGTTATTGATTGTATTGGCAGCTGCAAAGGAAATGTGAGACTTCCAGGTATCATGATGTTGGGCTATGTGGCTGCTCATTCAGAGAATTTGGCCATGGCAGTGATCATTTCCAAGGTTAGTTCTTGGTTTTCTGTAGTTAAAAATTATAATTAGATTTAAAAAAATGTGAGTGTGCCAAAGATACAGCAAACACGACTAAACGACTAAACACACAAGCAACACATTGTGTCATTACTAAGGTGGAGGAGAGCCAGATACAAATACCCCTGCCAGGAAACTCTGGATATCCTTTGGCTGATCGTTACCTTTCAGCTAACCTATTTCTCAGAAATTATATAAGAATAAAGTGGGCTTGAGAGCAGACTGTGTGTTCTACCTTGAGTTGCTTTTAGACCAGCTGGCATGTTTGTTTACTTATTAGTTACACTTATGTCTTTCCTTCCCTTCACTGAACTTTGGGCAGCATACATAGTTACTCTTTTCTGCTTTATCCCCACAACAGCTCTGTGAAATAGGTCAAGCTGATAAAGAATGACTGATCCAGGGGCACCTGATGAATGTTATGACTTACTGGGAACTGGAACCTGGATCTTTTAACTCCTGGACACTCTGCTATGTACTGCCCAAACCGTCTCACTTGTCAGGGACATTACCAAAGTTAGGATGATTTGGGGTGCTGCCTATCTTCAACTTTCCCTATTCTGCCCTCTCTATGCCCCCCGGCCACTCTCTTTACGTTTTCCATTTTGACATTGAAAAGGAGGTTGCTATGGATGTGAAGAGAGTCTATCTCCAGCCTTGGAAGGGAGATTAAGTCTGTTCTATGGCTTATGGAATTTTAGTGCTTATAGATATCTCTATGACTGAACTGTTACTTTAAAAAAATATTTGTTATATTTGATTGCTTAATTTCTGCATTCATAGGATGAAAATAATATTTCAGGCATTATCCAGCCAGAGTCAAACTGGTTTTCAAAGGGAGAGTGAACAAATGTTTAATTCTTTTGCTGTCTTTCAAGTTAGTGCTACCACAATGTGTTTTTGTATAAATGGATCCTTTTATTTTTCAAGTAGTCTCCACTATTCCATAGTAATAGTAGTGATCAACTACTCAAGGTTTTTTGAGGAGAGACAAGGATTTTGAAAGAAACATTGAAAAAATGTGATATGCAATGTTATCTTTGCATTGATTGGTAGAATTTTTGTGTTTTCAAAACAAACATTCTGTAGCTATATTAAATTGTAATCCATAGCCTGAACTGTGTGCCTAGTCATTGTGTGCAAGGAAACAGAAGAGTCTTGGGATTGTTTTCTTTTTTTATATAATGTTATGGATATTTTTTGCTAGCTCAGTTTTGCATTTTCATGAGATGCTAAATGAGTTGTGTTTTTCCAAATAGCTAAAAGGGAACAAGCAAATGGGTTTCTTAGAATAAATATTTGATTTCTCAGCTTTAATTGTCTCTAAACTGAGAATGTATAAAATAGGCCATCTTTTGTTATGTCAGTGTGCTTGCTTTTCTTCTGCTCTAACATACTTAAAAGAAAAAGATTATATGCTGCAGAAAGCAAAATGTTAACATTTACACTCTGTCCCATTTTAGTATAAATGACTGGCAGTTCTGAAACCCTATTAAATGTTAAAGGCCATTGCAACTGAATAATGTCTTCAAACAGAAGATATAATTTGGATTTCTTGCCGTTTCTAAAGAAATAGCTGTATTAGTGTTTCTTGCTATAAATCTCATAAAGTGCCACAATACTTTGCCTTTTCTCTCTCTCTCTTGTTTTCACCTTTCTTGTTCCCCTTTATTTTTTTCAACATTTGGATTGCTTGCATTTCTCTGTTTAAAATGGGCAGACTGTTAAGCTTTTTTGTGTCTAAGGTTTCCTGCCCTCTAAAGTGTTTTTCTAGGTAACCTGACAGTGAGAAGGGAAATCTAATATTTGAATGCCTGATGTGCAGTATAATTATTGATGGTTTTCTCTCTCACACACAGACACACATTCTCATTCTCTCTCTCTTTAAATGTATCAGATGGTTCCTGGTGGATAGTAGAATATATTGATTTGTGTGAGTGTGTGCAAAGTATTCTAATTATAAAATTGTCAGGACTAAAAGGCAATCTGACTGATGAAAGTTCCAATCTACATCTGTAAGGGTCAGTGCCCACATGAATAATAACCTGTTAGTTGTGTTTAAATTTATTGTGTGAAATGAATGAAGGAGTGGGGGCAAAAAAGAGCATAAATATATAGAAGACTCCTGCTAGGGAGAAAAGGTTTGGCATGGGGGCGGATAAGCAGTTCTCTCAAACATTGTGGCCACACCATATCCTTTCATCTGAGTGGCTGCGTATGTGGAAGACCCATGGAGGCATTCTCAAAATAAAGAAAAGATGCACAGAGTAGATATGGAGTAGCTTTCTAGAAAACCTACCCAGGAAATCTGAAACCTTGGAATTTCAACACCTAATAAAAACACTAGCTATGCTTTCTGTTTTGCAATCTGATTTGTGGCACCTGCTCCTTGAATCTTGAAAGCAATAATTGTGTCAGCATAGCTGCCCTTATTGCAGAAAAATAGCAGAATTAATAATTTTCTGATGCTTAAATTCATAATATGGAGAAACAATCCTCACAAGTGGCCCAAGTGATGTATGTACTTGTATGCATGTACAGTATGTCTATTTCCTGTCTCTTGCAGGTTCTCCAAATCTGTCCTCAATCCATAGTGTTTTGTGCTTTTGATTAATACTGCAGGGGGTTCCACAGCTTGCGGTGTGCTTGTCAGAAGAGCCAGAAGATCATATTAAAGCAGCAGCTGCTTGGTCTTTGGGGCAGATTGGAAGACACACTCCAGAACATGCCCGGGCTGTTGCAGTAGCAAATGTGTTACCTATGTTGCTTTCCTTATATATGGCAGCTGAAAGTTCAGAAGATCTTCAAGTCAAAGTAAGCCAATATGCTTTTAAATTTATGTTTATTAATAATAATGGGCTTAGAATCTGGGTAAAATGACACGAATGGTGAAGAAATTGGGTTGTGATCTATTAGGTTGCCAGGTCTTGTGTTAGCAGTTGGAATCTCAAAGAATACCGTGTTTCCCCCAAAAAATAAGACAGGGTCTTATATTAATTTTTGCTCCAAAAACCACATTAGGGCTTATTTTCAGGGGATTTCTTTTTCATGTTCAACAATCTACATTTATTCAAATACAGTCATGTCATCTTCTTCTGGTTGCTGCACAATGGTGGAGGATGGGGTTTCACTTAACTGGAGCTTATTTTTGGGGTAGGGCTTATATTATGAGCATTTTGAAAAATCATTCTAGGGCTTATTTTCAGGTTAGGCCTTATTTTTGGAGAAACAGGGTAGTTGGGGAGACAAATCTAAGGGTGACCACTTCTGGAAGAGGAGCAAGTTTGTTTCTTTGTGTGTGATCTATGGCTTTAGAGTGTGAGGGGCTTACCTCAATTCATTCCTAGCTGGTACTGTCTCAGTGTGTGTCATGTATATTGTAAGTCTGGGTGGAATGTGAGCCCTAGCAGGAATGGCAAGAATTGCTACAGATTTGGGGCATATTTTAGAACTCACTTTGACCTACCCCACCCCACTTTTGGATTGTTATATCGCCTCATTATCTGGATTTTACATGGATCCTATGCTCATTTCCCTAGTTTTTCTTTATGCCTGTTTCCACATTCAGTTAGTCCATAAGCAGTTTTGTCCTCCTAGCTTTTGCCTACCCTGCATCTGTGGCTTCACAAGGAATCATCTCAAACCTCTACTTTTGGCCATGGAATCTCAGAGAATGGGATGCTGCTGACATGCCAACCCTGCATGCACCCTGTCCCAATTAAAGATGCACAATAAGGTGGAGGAAGAGAGAACTATGGGCTCTTTAGAGGAAAGGCAGGATCCAACTATAGCAAACAACTAATTAAGTACCTACCTTACTAAATAAATGCATACAAATAAATATAAATGTACAGATGCGGTATGGAGCAATTCTGTGAAAAAATGAGACAATCCAATAGGTTTATAGGGAGCAAGCAAGTCTTGGAAGTATCCTGGTCTCTAAATAGGGTATTAATTTGGGAATAATGTTAAGTTTTACAGGAAGAAGAGAAAGTTGGAAGCAAACCTGTTGGAACCAGCTGATAAGTGGGATTCAGCATATCTAACTGAGCCTACATATATGATAAGATAGCGACTGAATCATATAGGGCAGTTTGTGTGCTGAAGTTGTTTGCATGTGCAGTTCTTCATCTAGGTGTATCTAGCAATGTGTGTGTGTGTGTCTCCCACCTGGGACTGAAGTAATCATGCACCGGCATTTATGGGAAAGGGACAGAGCTTACAACCTATTGAAAGTTACTTTTTGGGAGGGGGGAAACAGTAGCTCAATATAATTAGTTCTGTGCATTGTTAAAAGAGTAACTTGTTATTATATATTGTTACTTCTTAATTATTTTTAGTTTTTAAAAATTAAAATACAAGAATGTCCCAAATTCCTGCCAAATGACCCTCCTTCGCAATATTTAAGGTATAATGTGAATCATTGCACCACAGAAAAGTAATAATATTACCTACCAGTTGTTATGTTGCTTTTAAAACTTTGGTCACATATATTGTGTTGCTTCCAGGTGCTGAGAAAGGTGCAGTAGTATTATATGTATGTCCTCTGTTTGTCTCAAGCATCTAGTTACCTCCTGGATGATCATGTCTATAAGCACCAATCAAACCTGTGGCTTAAATTAGGTTGCCTTCAGGCTGAAACTGAGAGATTCATATGTGCAGTGTAAAACTTAGTTTTTTCCACCAGATACTAGCAGAAAATAATTATGAAGCAAAGTATATAGTAAATGATGTATGTAGGGTTTGTCATGAATCTAAAGAAACAATTCATTAATTCATTCAATATCCAATAGATTATATGTGCAGACGTAACCACGTTGCAAAGATCATTTTTTCAGCAGTTGGCCGAATCTTATGGATCTTATGAATTAGAAATTAAAAGAATATGGAAGCAATATGGACCATCCTCCTTGCCATACTAATTTCAACAACTGGAGTTGTTCCAGTTTCTTTAACTAATTGAAAACAGTTGCCAGCAAATAGCTGCTAATTTGTATTCTCGAAGGCTTTCATGGCCAGTATCCGATGGTTGTCATAGTTTTTTTGGGTTGTTTGGCCATGTTCTTGAGGTTTTTCTTTCTAATGTTTCACCAGTCTCGTGGCCGGCATCTTCAGAAAACCTCAAGAACACGGCTAGACAGCCCGAAAAACCTGCAACAACCAGCTGCTAATTTGCTTGCTGAAATTTGAAAATCAGTGATTTTGCAAACATCTCACCTCACCCTCAGATTTTTAGGACTTCACTCCTAATGCTGAGGCTTGACCCTTTCGTCTGCCCCCATTCAACAGCAGCGCTGAGAAATAAGTACAGTATAATAATAGTGATAACAATAGTAATAGTAATTGCTATGATTATGCCATCTTGACAGCCTGATTTGGGTCAAAAGAAGGGCTAGAAATTTTGAACATGGAAGATCAATACGTTTTCATAATGTTTAGAGTACTGACTTTCATCCAGAGTAGGGCATCCCTCCTGATGGGGAAGCATTAGGAATTCAGAAGCATCTGCAATTTTAAAAATTATTCATTATAATATACTTTTCAGTTGGGAAAATGGCAGAGCTTTTTACATCATTCTGTGCCATGCAGTGGTGCACTTACTTTCTAAATGTATAAATGCTTTTATTTGATTTTAGCTATATTTCAAATTTGAAATTACATTATTTGTGGGGCAGATCTGGAGGAAGACACATGATTTCATGTATGTCAAAAGACAATTTGGGTTAAAATGGTTGAGAAATATGTTTACATTTTCATAAGATTTTATGAAAATAGATAAGCACACAATTTAACAACAACACTAAGTTAATGAACAATAAAATGCTGGAGAAGGCTTGGTGGCTCAACTGTGAACAGAGAGCACTGCTGCTAAAATGCATAGATTAGCTGCATGTAACTGATATAATCTGCATACAGTTTTAACAAATATAATAGATGCTAAAGTACTATTGAGTGTGTTGCACTGGTGAACTTTAAATTTTCTCCTGATTTAAACTGTTATGGCTGGGGTTTCTGGGAATTGCAGTCCAAGAACACCTGGGTTACCCAATGTTGGGAACCACTAATACGTATAAAGGAACCATATCTCTTGGCCCACCTAGATATTTTGGCAGGACTATCACATGGCTGGCATGGCATATTAAATTCCCTGATGTCACTTAGGAGACTATTTGAAATGGAAAGTTACTTCATAAAATGTTTTTTAAAACTCATCAAATGGAAAACTAGAACAGTAGGAGGAAATGTTAAGTTGTGCTAGTTTCCAGCTTGCAGGGATGTTTGCTTTTTAAGTAAGCCAACAGTCAAAAATATAATCTCTTACCTTCTGTTCAAAATGGTACAATCCTTTCTGCTGCTTCAGGATGCCAGCATTTCCTTGTGCTTCATATGTAGACCAGGCCATTGCCAGAGTAGCTAGAGAAGAAGCAATATGAAAGTAGCTCCCCCCAGTGTTGCAGTAACATATCAATTTGGCCTTGGAGTCAACTAAAATGTAGTTGAGATCAGAGTGTTTTTGTATTTGCCTTTTTTGCTGTGCAGGATATGAAATAATATTTTCTGGGTCATGGAATGTTTGTGGGTCTCTCTAGATTTTTGCTTTCTTTTGAGAGCATAGCAGCTGGTGTGTAATATTAAACTCAACTCATGTTGAAGCATATAGGCTAGAGAATAATACTGCACATTGAAACTAATACTTTCATAGTCACAACAAGCAGAGTCCATAATTCTGTCCTTCTGTTTGCTTCTTTGTACATATGAATGTATGTCTGTGTTTCCCTTTACAAGCTATATGTTTCTTAACATTCTTTTCAGAAGTTTGAGTGCAACTACTTTTCTAGGTGCTTGTCTATCTAAGCAGGGTGGCCTTCCAGATGTTCTTGTATCTCCCATCCCACATTTCTCAAAGGGACTGCAACTCTCAACAACCCTTATTATAGGCTATGCTGACTAGGGTTGTTGGGAGTTGCAGTCCAACTACATTTGGAGGGTTGTATTTTCTTGATCCCAGTCTAAAGAGTTCTAAAATATTATCTCTGTTGAAACCAGAAGCCATAATTGAGACCAAATATATAACAATCATCTGCAGCTTGGGAGGCGATCTATTACCACAGCACGGGTTGCTAGAATTTTCATGGCCTTATGCTGCGGAATTTCCCCATGCAGAAGGGCATTGGAATAAATTGGACTGCCTCACTGAGCATAAATTTTCTATTGTATATTGTAAAGGCCTTTGGTCATAAACAATGAAGTTGTTGCTTTCCTGAATACCTGTCATCAGAGGCAGCTGATTATGGCAGCAGTGAAGGAATAGAGAGGCCAGAACTCATGGTATTTATATTGATACTGGCATCCAGGATACGTATTAGAATCTACACATATCAGGCCCTTCCACTTTTCTCTAGAAAAATAGTGTGTGTTTTGGTGTCCTCATGGTGACTACAACAAATCTACTGCACAGAATGGAGAATATTACGCAGGCGCTCACTTGTTATATGTTGTATACATGGTCTTGTGGAGGAATTTGAAAATAAAGTTGTTGCTTTATAGAGCCAGGTGGAAGTCAGACATAAATTGTTTTTTGTCCCTCCACCCTGATTCGTAACCCAGTGCTGCCATTGTTTTTCATGTCACCATATTTGGCAGACAACATTATGCTATGTGCAAGAAGCATATAGGTTGAAACTGAATCTGCTGAGGCAAGAGAAATCATGCAATCTTATGATGCTGAGAGCTGGTTCTGCCCCTTTGCTCTGGGATTTTGATGCTAGCTACAGATGGGAACTGTTCCTTTGTTTGGACTGCATACCCTAGAATGACCCAACAAGCATGGCCTGTGGTGATTTCTCCATCTCTGATGTTAGCTATTTGCACTGCTATATCAGCACTGGGGAAAAGCCTGCCTGTTAACTGAGAACAAAAATGAGTCAGTAATGCCCCAACGCCCACGCCAGCAATGTGAATCATGTCCACCTCTATGGTCTCTGAAGAGCTCTTCTCTACCCACAACATGTTCTGTTTGCTGAGCACTTCATTGCAGCCTGTCTTATAAACAAGGCAAGGGTGTGCTTGGCTAAATGAATATTTAAGTGTTCTACAGCATGCCAGCAGTTCAAAATATATGTCAGCAGGTGCAGTCTTAGAAAGCCTAGGATGTGCGGTATGGCGGAGAGGGGGAGGAGCAAAACAGACTAGCGTGAAGCGTGTGCATGTGTCTCAGATATCTGAGAAACCAGTTGGTATTGAGGGAATGGCAAAGAGGAAGGTTTAATCCCTGGCCCGTGTAACAAGCCTAGACAAAAATCCCACACTGAACCTGTTACACATTTTAGGGTGAGGGAACAGACCTAAATGTCACCAGTAGCTTGCGCAGTTCCCTCATACCAGGTCAGATTATTTGTTTCTCTAACCCAAGTTGCCTGCTGCAGCATTCCTGGATGTTCCCAGATCATTCACAAATGTTTTAGGTGACAGCTTCCATTAGTTCTAGCTGACATGGCCAATGGTGAGTAGTCGTGGAAGTCCAAAACAACTGGTAGGCACAAGGTTTGTGAAAGCTGGATTAGAAGCATCTCTCCAGAAACATGTCTTCTCTATTACGTGCAACCTATATCTTTTAACTAGAGAGCTAGAGATGATCTTAAGGCCTTCTGCATGTGTAATATGTGTGACGTACTAAGGCAGAAGGGTCATAACCCTGGGACTTTCTTAGTAGCAGAGTCTGTTACATCATCTGCCATTTGTTTTTAGGAGGCTCAGTTCTATTTGAGCTTTGTTGCAGTCTTCACAATAGGAAAAGAAATAGATTTTTCCAGGAAGAGTATATTGTTTCCAGCCATACTCTGCAAAGTATTTGAGGGTGATTTTGTCTTGCATAAGCAATTAAGGTCCATTAGCTTACAAAGGACCTGGTGATACAGACCTATCCAGCATTTTTTACTCTTTTTGAGTGTGTGTAGCTGTGGAGACTGTCATGATAGGGACCTGCACATCCACATTTACTACTAAACCATTACAGAGACATCTTCCACTCTTCTTGAGGCTATGACAGCATAAATACATTCACACATTTCATGGTTCATTTAGTTTGGCCTGTTTAATGTCCATCTTTTATTTATTTATAACATTTATATCCTGTCTTTTCTCTAAAAAGTAGCAGTCAAGCTGACTTACAATCTGCATAAATGAATAAGGAAACAAGCAAAGCCAAATTCAACTGTAACACAAAATGAAGTAAGACCAGCCGTACCATAAAAAAACCTTTAAAATCATCCACAACAGTCAAAAACAAAAACATTGTATGTGTTGGCTTTATATTCCACCTGTCTCCCTCAAATGAGACTCAAAGCCGCTGCAGTAAGTTTGGTGGAAATAGTATGCATGCTTAATTTAATTGTATGCATAATTGTGTACATGCTTATTTAATGGCCCCTGCTGGTTAAGGTTATAAATTTTTAATTCAAACTATAATTGTTCTCTTGAGAGGAAGGTTGGCATTAGGGCAGATGGGGGTGAACTTTTCTAGGAAGAGCCTGGTGCACGAAATGTACATTTCACCTGAAGTTCAAGAGACCTTACGTGGATTGTTGTACAGTACAGTCACTGAGCTATGGCACCTCTCTGGGCAGTAAAAACCACAATGCTGACTGTCTCTTTCATGTCCTTGGGATTCAGTCTCTCAGCCCAATTTCAATGTACTGGTTTAATTGAGTCATGAATGTTCATGCCTGGCAGCCCTGGGTAGCTCAATTGTATCTTCCTTTAACCTTCCTGAATGGGAAGCTGGATGCAAGCTGTTGGTCACGGTAGCATTTCAGTCTGCTTGCTACATCAGTGCTAAGGATAGAATATCATGTCATTATCTAATTACATTTGAAGTTAGTAGAGCTCAGGTGGTCACAAGGGAAGGACAAATATCCCTGCAGGGGACAAAGTTCCATTTTGGACTAATGACATGCTTTACAGAAACTGTCTGTGTGTTTTCGGAACTGTCTGCAAGGAGAGATAGAAATCAAAAGTGGAAGGGATGAAGTCTTCCAGACATCTAAATTTCTATTCCAGATAACAAAATTTCACATAGCAAACTGTTTGTACAGAACTGCAGAAGACAATCATACAGGTTATATCATATCAGCATCGATCACAGTTCATTAGCATTACAAAATACTATCAGTAGGTTGTAAAGTTCCTGCCTAATTCTGTGCCTAGTTGAAGCAAGAGCTCCACTTAGAGTGAGACTTCACAGATGGAAGTTCTCATCCCTACCAAGCACAAAATCTACTGGGTTTAACTATCTCTTAGCCTGACCCTACCTGACATGAGAATGAAATGAGGAGGTGAAGGACCATGTATGCTGCCTTGAGCTCCCTAGAGGAAAAGCGGGATATAAATATTATTACAAATTGATACCACAGATAGTACTAAAAGGAACTGCTGGAAGGCCAGCAGTGTTACATAATGAAGTCTTTCATTTCAGCTGGAGTTTGCCCTGATTTCCTCCTGTATGTTCATTGGGAGTGTGCAAAACTTAATATCCACCATCTCAAACAAGAAGTATGCATAACTGTAGCAGTTTTTAAAAGCATCATTATTTGTGCATCTCCCATTCATAATTTTATTATCCTTAATAATAAATAACACTTGGGTTTACATGAAGCATTTCAAGATTGTTCTTTCTTTTCATTCCTCTCCTGTTGGAATCTGGATGTCATCATAGCTGCTCTGTGACACCTCTGAACAACAATGTTGTGTTGCATCCAAAGCAGTCTCCTGAATTCTTCAGCCAATAAGTTCCTTTCTGTAGATCTTTTTCCGTTTCTTTTACCTTGAATAAGAATCTGTATTTTTCATTTCTCATTATATGACCAACATATTCTTGTTTTTTGTGTTTTATTTCTTGATCTTTATGCATTCCTTCATTTAGTACTTAATTGGTCACTTTCTTGATCTAAGACGTTCTTAGCATGCAACACTAAATCTTAATCTCCATCATTAAAGTATTACAGTTTTCTAACGTTTTTCCTTTTTTGAAACAACTTAGGCCAGAGTTTTGTAAGGAGGCTTGGTGACAATTGACAGCTGTTGCCTCACTGGAAATATGTTGCATTTTGACAGACTAAGAAGGCTTTGAAGAACATCCTACAGAAGTGCACTTATCTGCCAGCACTTGAACCCTTACTGCATAACGCTCCTCCCAACATCCTGAAGCATGTAGTTGGCCAATTCAGTAAGGTAAATGTGGATTTGCTTTCCACTTCTTAGGGGCTCTGTACTTGACCAGTATGTCTGAAACCAATCTGGGTAATGTGCCAAGCATACTGCCTCTGTTAGGGTGGAGAGGACCTGTCCCATACAGAAAGAAACCAGTCACGTAGTTTGGCTGTTATTTATTAAAATGCATTTGGGGAATAAAGGCAAGTGCATGCTGCTGTTTTTATTCCTGCATCAGGTTCATTATTTTGATTCCTCACTCTTCAGCAACTGCCCAATTTGTGGCCCTTGAGATCAGATGACATGCTCTCTAAAGATGAAAGGGCTAGATTTCTTCATGAAGGAAATTGCACATTTAGCAGAAAGTCATGCTGAAACCAGCACTGTTGACTGTCACGATTTTATAGAAAATGTAGGAAAAGTTGCTTTTCCTGGACAAGAACTCCCCAAGGCTCCAAGGGGTATTCTCTCTGGGGGATTCTGATAGTTCAAAAAAAAGAGGAAGTTATAGCTCCAGGGCTCTTCTTTTTGACAGTCACCCTTCATATGCAAAATATCTCTCCCCTTTCTTTGATGTCTCTATAAATCACACACTTGGTTGTTTCTGTGCTTGTGCAAAACTCCTTGGAATATTCTAGAACTTAAAATAGAGAGTTGTTAGAATTGTTGCTCCTCCTACTGTGCATATTCACAAACCCAAAAATCACCCCTCACTTCCCTTTAGCTACTACTGAGGAAACATCTTCTTCAGCATTTTAATGTTTTTGGTTCTTTAATGTGAAACCTTCCCACCTTTTCTGCAGTAGGGCCTTCCTGGCCTTTATGGCCCTGATGGGCCCATTAAAATAATATATTGTGTATGGTAATAAATCCCCTTTATGGATTACTGCCTTCTCGTGGCGAAGGGGCATGAGTAATTCAGAGAAGCTATGCCGTTCAGGGACACCCAAGACGGACAGGTCATAGTGAAGAGTTCTGACTAAATGCCATCCAGCTGGAGCAGGAACTGGCAAGCCACTCTAGTATGTTTGCCAAGAAAACTCCATGAACAGAAACAAAAGGCTAAAAGATATGATGCTGGAAGATGAGCCCCTCAGGTTGGAAGGCATCCAACATGCTACTGAGGAAGAACAGAGGACAAGTACAAGTGGCTCCAGAGCTAATGAAGTGGTTGGGCCAAAGCCAAAAGGACGCTCAGCTGTGGATGTGCCTGGAAGTTAAAGGAAAGTCCAGTGCTGCAAAGAAAAATTCTGCATAGGAACCTGGAATGTAAGATCTATGAACCTTGGTATGCTGGATGTGGTCAAAGAGGAGATGGCAAGAATCAACATTGGTATTCTGGATGTCAGTGAACTAAAATTGACAGGAATGAGCGAATTCAATTCAGACGATTATCATATCTACTATTGTGAGCAAGAATCCTGTAGAAGAAATGGAGTAGCCCTCATAGTCAACGAAAGAGTGGGAAAAACTGAACTGGGATGCAATCTCAAAAATGATAGAACGATGTCAATACGAATCCAAGGCAGACCTTTCAACATCGCAGTCATCCAAGTTTATGTGCTAACCACTGATGCTGAAGAGGCTGAAATTGACCAATTCTATGAAGACTTACAACACCTTCTAGAGCTGACACCAAAGAAAGATGTTCTTGTCATTATAGGGGACTGGAATGCTAAAGTAGGGAGTCAAGAGATGAAAGGAACAACAGGGAAGTTTGGTCTTGCAGTTCAAAACGAAGCAGGGCAAAGGTTAATGGAGTTTTGTCAAGAGAACAAGCTGGTCATCACAAAC